TGGTAATACATGTTTTATTATACAAACCGCCTATGTCATGTCAGAAGGTAGTAGCATCAGTCTCACTATCTACGAGATGAGACTTGAATGGGATCTTGGCATGATGTCACCATACAGTACTTTGTGCGTTGCAAACTTCAAGTAATGTACCTCTGGTAATATTTCATTTTAGCTGGAATTAATTTTCGCTGAAAAAGACAGTTTGGCTATTTTGTATGAAGGTCAATTTTGATGAGTTGAATGCAAAATATAGGATATACCGTATATTTCAGGTGGATTTTATTTTCACTGATTTATCCCACAGCTAAAATAGCAAAAATTAATTCCAAGTGAAAATATGATAATCTACAGTAATATGTCAAATAAGTATAATAAAATTAAACAATACAATGACAACATTTTGTTTTTCAAGGTGTAATGTGGTAACTTTCATGTCATTCAGTATGATGGCTTACAGTGAAAAATTATTTACCCCAAGCAGTGAGTCTAATTTAAGATTCAATCTTCAAAGAACCCAAACAAATATGAATCATATGTCTATATTTAGGGGCATGTCTTACTGTTCATTTTTTACGTCACAGTTAGGAAATTATAAGTGAAAATTAACAGTGCTCATTCTACAAGTGTTAACAATCACAAATCAATGATAGGCATTTCCCAGGCACTTTAAAAGTAATGATAAATCACTATCACTTTACCTGATCTTTGAGAGCTTTCATGTAAACATTCAACAGCCTGTCAGAATACTTGGTCATTAATTCTGGGTAGTATTGAGCAAACACTCCCAGTAAGTGGTAGATGCCATGTTTCACTAAAGAAAATAACAATAATACATACATAGCAAAGAATTCATGTAAACCATTTATTTTTTTTCATTGCTATAAAATTTAGTGATTAAATAATTTGAGGGATGAATTTTTGCCAAAGATTCAGTTACTCCCTAGGATTCCAGTGAAAGTCAGTGACTCCCTAGGACACTGGGAAGTCACTGCAATATCAGAGAGATCACTGTGACTCCCTATGACGCAAGTGAAAGTCACTGTGACTCTCAAGGCCTACAACTGAAAGTCACTGCGACTCCCTATGATGCAAGTGAAAGTCACTGTTACTCCCTAGGACTCCAATGATTGCCTTAAAGAACTAAAATAAATTGTTCATGGTTACAATATTAATATTTTGCATATTTTTCTGACATATATTTTCTAATATTATTTGGCTTGGCATGTAATAATACCCATTTGTCCAATAAGCTGCAAAGGTTAATCAGATTTTTCAAATCTTGTTATCAGGATTATTACACTACTTGTCCAATGTATTGCAATGGTCATTGTTTGAATTGTAGAGTCTTAGTATAAAAACATTATGCCTCTACCCTGCCCAAATTTCCCCCAGAAAGTCACACATGTCAGTGGGCACACCCATTGTTGGAATAAGATAAAAGTGATCAGAAAAAATCACTGAACTGCAAGTACCGATAGTAACAGCAACAAAATTAGCTGTCACACTAACCTGTGGCCGCCAGTTTACTTGGTTGCATTAACTGTGAAAAGTATTTGTCAATCAGTTTGCTAACACCAAGTTCTTTAGCTACAGGTGTATTAGCAGTCAATTCCAATAACTGAAATAAATCAGAAAATTACTATTATCATTCATTTAATTATTTAATGAGTCTGCACTCAACAAATACTGTTTTGAATATCTGGCTCACCTTATTAAGAATAGGAAACGTTCTGTTTTTAATTTTAGCCATCTTATCCCGAGTGAAGAGAGAGAGGCAGACATCTTTGATATCCAGTGCATAGGTGACAATTTTCTTATCTGCTCTTATCATAAAGTTATATACAAACTCCAGGATTCTTTCCTTGCTTGATACATACTGTATGAAAAAAATACATATACAACAACCTTATTGCAAGAAGAGCTGAAATTATGCTTTCAAGAACTACCAGTAAAGTTGTTTATATACTCATAATGTCCCCCCCCCGGGGGGGGGGGGGGGGGGGTTTCTACTTCCACATTAAGTGGGTAAGGGTGTGAAGCCCACCTCTCGAAAACCATACTCACTTCTAAACCATTTATTTTTCTATTTATATACCCACTTCTAAACACAAGTGTTTTCAGCGAAAAAAAAAACACCCAGCTCACAACTTTCGCAACCAGTGAGCGCATCCGGGCAATGCATTTTATTCAGCCTTTCCA